GCTACCTCAAAATCAAATCATCAATTCAGAGTACTGTTCTCAACTTGATAATTTGAAAGTAGCCATAAAAAAAAATAAGGCTAGATTAGCTAGAAGAAAAGGTGTGACTTTCCAGCATGACAATGCTAGGTCACATGCATTTTTACCACCCAGGAAAAATTATTGGAATTTGGATGGAATGTTTTGTGCCATATTTTCTTGATCTTGCACCTTTCAGATTATCACTTTATTTTAATCTTTCCATAATAGTTTACAGGGGAAGAAGTTCAGTAACTTAGATAATGTGAAAACCACATACAGATTTTTTGATAAAAAAATCCCCATAATTCTTTGCATTTGAGATTAACACATCTATTGAGTAAATCCATTAAGTAATAGAAAACAAAGGTGTATATATAATTTAATAAAGTTAGTATTACTTTTGTCTAAAAAAATAAACAAAAAAAAAATAAAATAATAATAATAATAATAATAACTTTTTGATTATATACACATATATATGGTTAATCAAAGCAGAAGTCATGGCACATATATATATATACAGGTAACCCCCGTATAACATAGCACTTCTATAGCACAGATTCATTCTAACACGGTTCGAGAATTGGGAACATCCCTGTATAACACGCTGCTTTTATAGCATGGGTTCACTCTAACATGGTTCAGGAATTGGGTAAAACCCTTGTACAACAGGAAATGTAATTAAGGGTGCATTCTTTTATACCTCCACATGAGCATACTAATTTTTTTTGTGGCTACTTTGAATGCTCTTTCAACAAATAATTCATTTAATGGTTAAATTTTACAATTAGGACCCTTCTTTTGCCTCTAAAAGCTCATATTTTAGAATTATAGATTCCTCCATCACGATACTATTGATATTGCTCCATCTTTCCTTCTTTCACTATTGTTCCTAAATGCCTACAAACAGCAGCGCACTCCCATTGTAGTGGAGACGCAGAGAGACCGCTATTAACGAACGCAACCAAAAACTGTTACCAGTTGATGATGCTCTTGCTGAGATCATCATATAGGATAAATAATCTGGTAAAATATTTACTTAAATAATAAATAAGTATTTTACCCATGAAAAAAATGAATAATAAATCCGATTTAAAGAAGGATTTAACAGCATGTTTTTTAATTTTTGTAACCTAACCCCCCCTTTTTGCACTAGTTCTTTGTTTTGTATAACATGGATTCGCATAGCACGGCAATTTTTTGGAACATAACTCCTGTGTTATACGGAGGTTTCCTGTATATATACTGTATGTATATATATATACATGCCATAACTTCTGCTTTCTGCCCTTTATTTTCTGTGCATCAATCTAGGCTTTAACTAACTTTATAACCTGTATTTTTATCTTCATAACCTTGAAATAAAAAATTTCAAAAATATCAGTAATTTATAACCAGTAAATATAGACCATACAATTGCAATTCTGACTGTTTATCCTTATCCTAGGTCCTTATCAACAATGTTATCTTGCAACAGTTCAACTTTGTCAAAATGTAAAATTTCAATAATTTAACCTATATTTTGTAACTGCTACTCTTTAATATATCTGTCATCTTCTATACTATATTATGATTTAATAATATTGTTATCATCAGTTGAAGTTTTTAATAAATATTTACAACTTTTATTGAATTCAGAATACACTTTATGAATTGAACAGGTTTGCCTTAAGGAAAAATATTAAAATTAAAAAGCAGTTTGCTTTTTCTTTTTCTAATTGCAATTGCATTACCTGACATCATCATTTTCCCAAAATCTTTATAGAATAACTGTTAACATTTTGGTGTGAAGTGAATATTTCATTCTAATATTTTTCTGTTTATAAAATATATAATTTATAATTAGAAATACTTTGTTGTTGATCAGTTCAATCGAGAGTTTATTATGTTAGTATATACTAAGTAATACTTATAGCTACTAAGTATCTGATTAAAACACATTTAATGCCAAAGTTGGCGTGGAGCATTCTATATTGCCTTGGGGAAATTTTATCCTTTGTTTATAAGACAGAAAGTTTATTTTTATTGTACACTTTAAAGAATATATTTCATCTACTAGTTTGTATTAGTATTCTATATATTAATTTTTTATTGGTATAAAAATATGTTACAAATTATGATTATAAAAATTGTATTTTTGTTTAGTATTAATTTTTGTGTTTCTTACTGAAATTAAATTTTATTTACAAATTTAACACTTATTTATATTATTTTGTTTATTTTCTGATAAATTTAAAAAATATATATGTCTTATAAAACATCCTTTTTAATGTATAAATGTTTTGGCATATTGGTAGGGAAATTGGTTTTACACTGGCAGTGAATATATTAAATCAATTTAGTGTTTATATTCCTGTTATTTCCTCATTTTCAATAGACATTATTTTATATTTTCATGAAAATCATCTAATTTTGGTACACCTTATAAGGAACCTCTACTGTATATTATGCATTATTTCAAAATGAGCTTTCAGAATTGAAAGCTATTACATTTGTTAAATTAACATTATACCATATTAATTTTTATAAGAATTCATTTCTTTTCTATCATATTATACAATGAAACAAAAATTTTAAAATGTTTGTTAAAAAGTATTAGCTTAATAATTTTAAACAAAGCTTATGCAAAATTCTTTTTAACTTTTAATTGTTTCATAATAAATCTACATATATAATCAAGATGGGTTGATAATAGGGTTTCTCATTTCCCAGTCCTTTGCTTGTCCCGGGATTTCAGGAAAACAGTGAGCTGTTTCCTGGGATCCTGGGATATAATTAATTATTTTTAAGATATAAAATAAATCTCAAAATCAAATGATATAATTATTTTTCATTTTTTAAAGCAATTTAATATGTTCTGCAACTTCCAAAATAATAATATTAATAATACTGTGTAAAATATGTATTAAAAATTACTTTTGAATTAAGTAGAAATTTTCACAAATAGAAAAGATTTATTAAAGTTTGTTGGAAACTGTTTACAACAAAAAAAGCCTTTGAATTGAGTTGAAAATTTAAAGAAAAAAATGAACTTAGATCAAATGTCTAACTTAGAAGGTAATTTTCGTTTTTTAAATAAAACATAATATAAAATATTACTGTAAATTTTTATATTAAGATTTTAAAAAGCAAAGATGGTTGCTACTCCAATCACTTAATCCTGTTCTTATTTTAGTAATCAAAAGTCCAGCTAACAAGAATGCCCTTTCCGATTCAATTGATGTGGATGGATAGAATTGTCTTTAATGCATTTAAGAGAAGACAGATGTTATGTGTTTTTTCACCTGTAGCCTCGAAGATTTATAGTTCGTTTTTGAGATGCATTGCAATACTTTTTTTGCCACCTAATATTCTTGATTTGTCTACCTTGGCTGCTTTAATAGCAGCATCAAGCTTACAGCCCAATAATTTGACAGTTCGTTTGGCTTTAATAATCAGGTTTATGAAGAAAACCTTCATACTTGCATACTTCATACTCATTTGTATCCTTGCCCAATTTGTACAATCTGGCATAATGCAGTTATTGAAGATATGGACATGGTTAAAAATTAAGGCAGTATTGGCACAATTATTCAAGATATTACAGGTTCTGGAAAGTAAAGAATTTTCAGACTCCTGCTACAAATAGGCGACATATTGATTATTACCAATCTGTAGCATGCCATAACAAGCAAAAATTTAAAAAACAAATAAGCAGGTTTAAAATGAATAAATACAAATGTATTCTGACAGTTTATGAGTTAATTATACTTTCTATTTGCAAAATTTCCTCAACCTTAACACAAAATAAGAAAAAAGTGAACTTTTAAAAACTTTGTGGATTTCCTGAGATGAAAAGAATATCCCGAGATTTTTCCGGGTTAAAAGCCAGCCGGGATTCCGTTAGAGAAACCCTAGTTAATAATAATAAGCCCAGAGCCCAAATAGTTAGGAGTTGAAACCTGAAATTTGGTACACAGAGTGCAACTATGAAGACATGAGCGAGTGAATTTTCTGAGCAAGCAAAAATATGTGGCGAGAAGAGGTGATGATGTTTCACGTTCTTTATTTCTCGTTCTTGTTTATTACGACCACACAGATGAGAGTGAGAAATTTCATATATTCTTGCTCGCTCACATCTGCATAGTCGCACCCTTAGGGTACGTCATGAGAATGCGCACTAAGAAGGGATTTTTGGTAATTCCATCCTCGAGAGAAGAGGGAGAGAGAATTAATTTTAATCAGTATAAAGTGTAAATAATAAAGAAGGAAAATAAATAGTAACACATATAATATACATTTTGGAAATTAATAAATATTTCAATCATTTTCACCTTTCGGGTAACCCAAAAACAATAAATCCAAAATAAACAAATTTGAACGGATATTTGAATTTGTTCCAAATTAAAAAAATTCAAAATATTGAATTCGAAATACAATGTTCCAAACAAGTTATTTTAGATTTTAGAATTTAAAATTAATCATTTTATTCAAGTAAGGTTATCATCAAGTAAGTTAATTCTCCATTATAATGAAAAATTTTCTGATTTTATTTTATTGTACAGGTGATTTTTGTTTTTAGGTTATTTAAATAAAAATCTTTTTAAATACTAAAGATGTATTCAATTAAAATTCAATAATAATGATTTTAACTTTTTTTTCTATTAGATATCCAATAAATAAAATAGTAAAAACAAAATTTCTCATAAATTTGACCCTAATAATAGATACGGAAATGCAAATGGATATCGAAATAAGTCACAAAAAAGTGTAATTGTTATTAAATGAGCGAATAGTACCACCATATTTTTCAATATTAATTCTCGGACTTAATTCTTGCACCCAGTGAAAACGGGTAAGAACGAATATAACGTAATAATAATCTTCACTATCATTACTTTGTGCCCGAGCAATGCCGGGCTCCTTTGCTAGTATATTTATATTCTGTTAATAATTTCTAAAGAAAATATTAATTTTATTTAAAGTAAACGTTAACATACCTCCACAATGCGACGATGATTTAACGATACTGCTTCACAAAGGGGAGTACTTCCATCTTTAACGCTAGGAGGTTCAGCACTCTGCCAGGGATAATTCATGTCAATTCCAGAATTGACCAGTTGTTGCACCATGTGCATATCATTTCTCATAACTGCAATATGTAATTCTCGAACTTCATGAGGCATCGAAGTCAAACACGATCGATTCGTGCCCATGTTTCTGAATACCTTGAAAAAAATTGAGATTTTAAATTTCAGTAATTATACTCTTCTCTAACTGCACTTACAGACAATCAAACCTTAAAAACCTTTTAATACGCATATTAAAAGGTTTTTAAGCTTTGATTTTCAGTAATTTACATGTCAAATAAACGTAAATTAAATATATTATATAACTATTTCGGATAATATTTCAAATAAAATTTAGCCATTTTTAATATCATACACAAATATTAATTTTTGAGAATATAAAATGATTGGATTGATGGGATAAAGCAATGCAATAATATGAGTGATCAGCTAAGAGAGGAGGTACCGGTACTTCACAGGAGAACATTTTATAGAAAACTGGTCCTATTTATTAGGCACCCGCAAAACTCAGAAAACTCCAGCCCTTAAGCAAGGCGTAAACCCGCAACCGACAACCACCGGTCGTCGATCGAAGGTTCGCGTCAACCAGGTTCTCGATTCAGTTAATTTCGTAAATTACAGCTTTTCTAATAACAGAAGTGTTTTAAATAATTAATTTGTAAAATAATAAAATGTAACATACATATATTCAGAAGAAAATTATCATTAAAAACATATACAGTATGTTGTTTTTTAAAAAATAGCTATCTTATTAGTCACCATTATTTAAACATCAGATAAAACTATATAAGTTATGATAAAACCACATTGAATGTAACAAATAAAGACTGTGAAAGATAAAGAATATTTTTAATACATTTATTTGTTTTTCCCTTTATATTTGAATAATACAATTGTATTCTTCAAATACAGGAAGGATATATATACCAGTAGTTATATTCCAAGAATTCAGAGACTTACCTTAAGTACAAATTCTAGCACATGGTGAATTTGAAGGAGAAGAGGTGCAAATCGATCCAGTATGACTTCTTAATTTCAATATTTTTGCCGAGTAAAATAGAAAACACACGCGGTTCGATGTGTCAGTTTCTCAAATGCTATTAGCTCCTATCACATCAAACAGATGTTGGTGAATAAAACACGTGACAATTACGAAATAATTGTTTCCATTGTTTATATCGAAACGTCACAGACAAGTACCGAAATAGCAAAGAAAAGTTGACTGGTAGACAATAAAATCTCTCTGACGAATCATGGCTATTAGTAAACAAACCTGCACTTTGACCTCGATAAACAAATACTTTAGATTTTTCCAATTGTTTTTATTTCTTTAAATTTAATAATTTTTAAATGTGGACTCGTAATAAAGCAAACAGCCAATTTGAATAAAATAAGATAAGTGTGGAGAATACCGGTTTGAAATGGAAATGGAGAGAAATCGACAATCGTCGCCATTATCTGGAATGACGTTTTAATGGTGCGTGTTCTTCGATCAACCAATTTTCTATCAGAAAAATATTCGTCAAATTCAAATTTTTCTTTATGATTTAAATCATAAAGAAAGTAAGAAACTGTTTGCGATTATAATTTATAGAGTAGAAGAAAGGAATCTTTTTTTTTTTTAAAAAAAATGTAACTCTTCGCACTAAGATGGACTTTTTTTTAGCAAGTCCATTATGGGTTCTGCCAGGTCCACAATGGTGGTAAAGGAGTGGGTCCAGCATATCCTCCCCACGAAAAATTCTAGTGTTTTTCGACCCATCCGGATTAGATCTCGGGTCTTCAGGGAGGAGCGGTATCCTAACAACTCGGCCATCTGCCCATAGAAGAAGGGATCAAAATTTCTCATTGAATAAATACAGCTTATTTTTTTAAATTTCAGTCCTGGAGTACCTTAGTACCCTTTCTTTAATCTCCATCGTGGGTTCGACATGCCCACAATGAGGTAGCCATGTGGTGAAACACGAGATCCCACATAGAGAATTCCCGTGAAAAATTCATGGGGTTTCTTGCCGGATTTGATCGTAAGTTTCCTAAAGAGATAGGCTGACATCTTAACCACCTCCGACTTCAATTATTATAATCAATAATATTTAATTTTGTGGCTTTTTCAAAAATAAATATTTTTCAAGCTGCTTAAAATTTTTATAGGAATTCGTTATAATAAATAACGACGACAGTGGCAAAGTCTTTGGGAGACGCGAGTGTCTGGTTTGGTTTGATGGAATACAGGCAATACAATATGTGGGCGATCTGACAAGGAGGAATGTCTTCCGGGCAACAGCGCCTGCAGATTATAAAAAAGGGGGACACAAGCTATAAAAAAAGGGCATCATACATTACGCAAGGAGCTTCAAACTATGATTCGACGTCGAATCAGCGCTCCCCTAAGGTGGCACAGGTTGTACTCGTGCTAACTTGATCATGAAAACAAGGAACGGGATTTTGGTCAATATACGACGAAGCTAAATGAGTCAATGGACAAATATCGTTCATTAGTTTCTTTTATATTTGCAGAATAAGCTAAAAGTCACGAACTTTCTGTTGTTTGGGGCGTCTTTGGGGATTAGGAAAAGGGCAACCGAGACAAAAGGGGGAATGTGTCCCAGACGTCCCAATGTACATACTGGCGCCTCTGCTTCAGGGAGTACTTTTATGGAAAACTTTCGTCAATTTAGGTGTTAAATATGTAAAGAAAATTTGAAAAATTCCATGGTCTTCCCGTTGGTGAGGTGCGAATCTATGACCAGCTACCAGTGTTCAGTTGTTTTATTCATCAGTCATGGGTGGGCAAGTTCGATTCTGAGTCGAGAACCTGAGAAATATTGCACTGAGGTATGTTCGAATATGTCGGGTCTTGTCTCTCACCGCCTGGCCACTTCTATTGTGGATCCGTTCGGACCTAAAATGGGCACGGAAATGGTTCTCTTGGTGCACAAAGAACAGAAAGAGTTAAAAAAAATAATAATAATAATAAAAATAGGAATTTGTAAATCTTTCTTTTTACCATTAATATGGAAAGTAGTTGTTACTTTAACTTTTCCTTCAATATGCTGATACCTTGCGTTAGTAAATCTATCAATACTTTTCCAAAAAACAGAGAACCCAACTAAGCAACGGATTCAAGATTATATATTTATTTTTCTGTTATGAATTAAACATAATTAATTCTACATGTGACTTTGTTGAGTGCTAATTTTGTAAAATTTCTTTAAAATACTATAGTTTTTTCGTAAAAATGCTTTTCAAATAAAGAAATTTTACAATTTAATTTCAATTCATTATATTTTTCAGCATCGAAATGTGATTTACAAACTTCAAACAACATAATTTAATNTTCTCTTGGTGCACAAAGAACAGAAAGAGTTAAAAATAATAATAATAATAATAAAAATAGGAATTTGTAAATCTTTCTTTTTACCATTAATATGGAAAGTAGTTGTTACTTTAACTTTTCCTTCAATATGCTGATACCTTGCGTTAGTAAATCTATCAATACTTTTCCAAAAAACAGAGAACCCAACTAAGCAACGGATTCAAGATTATATATTTATTTTTCTGTTATGAATTAAACATAATTAATTCTACATGTGACTTTGTTGAGTGCTAATTTTGTAAAATTTCTTTAAAATACTATAGTTTTTTCGTAAAAATGCTTTTCAAATAAAGAAATTTTACAATTTAATTTCAATTCATTATATTTTTCAGCATCGAAATGTGATTTACAAACTTCAAACAACATAATTTAATCATTTCAAATTTTAATTAATTAATTAAATAAACAAATTTGCTTTCACTAATTTTTCACTGTTACTACTTAGATATAATTGTATAAATAATTATCAGATAAACTTCTGTTAAATATGCAGATATAATATACAATAATTAAGTAATAATAAGATTATTGTTATCAATTTAAGATTAACATTTTAATTTTAATAAAAAATTTATGTCTGTCATAAATAAGGGAATGTCGTAAAGCGAGGACCAACTTTTACTATTATAATTTTCTAATTGACTTGAATTTCCACCCACGTTATGAAATTCTTAATAAATCTTTAAATTTTTCATCTAGAATGGACTGAGATGAAAATCGAGATCAAGAAGGGTGATACTGACGAGTGAATATGGCCTCAATCCGCTTCTGTTTTTGTCTTTTAATGTTAGAAACACTATTCATTTGTCGATAGAATGTGTTCGGGGATAGAAAATTGCTTCGAACTATCGGAAGATATAAAGTATTTCGTTATTTCGACTGTCAAAAACCCTTGGGATTACAGTTGTGTGACGAAGTTCGCAAATAGAGAGGTTGCGCCCGAAGTTTTCATCTGTAAAACGTGAACGTCGAACGTCGAGTGCCACTTACAATATAGCGGCGCTCGACGTTCGACGTTCACGTTTGAGAGATGAAAACTTCGGCCGCAACCTCTCTAATATCTTCGCCTTTTTGACGTGTAGGCGAACGTAGACAACATAGAGAAAGCAATTTGTATGCGCTCGTGAAATCTATTATTATTTAATATTTCGCTGTCTATATTTTTTGTGAACAAAATAAAACGGTGTTGTTTTTCCTTAAAATAGCAGCAAGTTACAGCAATAGTTATTTAAACAATGGTTAATTTTCATTTACATAAGAAAAGCAACTAACATTAAGTTATAATTTGCATTTAAAAGTGGCATGATAATTGCCTTTAGAAACCTGCCGAAAATCCCGCTATTTTTAAGTTAAAATTAATTTGCCCATATTTAAAATATATATTTTATCCTTGGATTTTTGAAACTTTTACAAGAATCCAGTTTCAGAGGGACTTTTTAATCAATTTACATAATCGTAGGCAGGGAAGAACACGATAGAAAACGTCGGCTCTGCCAGTGTTTCTGTGGATGGAAAAATATATTGTAAGAAGATACAAATTGAAGACTAAATACAAATAAAATCTGCTATTATTTTTTTACAATATTTATAAGAATATTTTAAATTTATTTATAAACTTCTTTATTCACCACTATTGCACTTTGTTGTTTGATCGGTTTATTATTTAGGCGTTTTTTTCTGACAAAATAGCGAATCTTTTTAATTCCACGTTGATAAAACAAAGATGAATTATATGTACGGTACAATACTGCAACGTAAACCGATTCGAAATCGATAAAACGTTTATTATATAGCTAATTTTTCCATAAAATAAGCAATCTATACTTTTCGTCAGAACATAAAACGAATATAGCCAAAATTTCGTCAAAAATTGTAGGAATTATAAGGAATTCAAACACAGACGACAGCTTTTATATTAGTAGGTGTAGACCAATGTTTCTCAACGAGGACGATATCGCGCCCATGTGGGTGTTTTTTCGTGTTGAGGAGGCGATTAGTAAAAATTTATATTTTGGGGGCAAAAAGTAATTTTCTGGGCGATATAGTAAAACATTATATTAAGAATCATTAGATATTTTATTCGTTATATCGTACAATAGTTAAATAAATAACATTATACCAGTCACTTGTCTATTCGATGCAGTACGAATTTGGCGTTAGCCTTGGCCCTCGGCATCGGAATTTTGAAATGAAGGGGGCGATACTACGTTGAAGGGGGCGACGATTCGTTAGAGGTTGAGAAACACTGGTGTAGACAATCGTTTTTTACAGGGCAGCCCGCCGAATGAAGTATATATACTGTACATCCGACTATATGAAGCCGACTATACTGTACACCCACTGCACATTTTATTTCATCAAGTAAGTTTTTATTATTTTATTTTTAATTGTAGCCCTTATATTGTGGCTAGTGATTCAGATTGTAATTGTGATATTAAAAATACATTTAGAGAAGTCTGCGATTTTTACTGGCTTATCGAACAAATGATACGAATAGACCCTAGACCAGGCATGGCCAACATTCGGCCCGTCTAATGCATGATAATATGAAAAATGTATCTGTAATCTCTATCTACAATTCAGTCTCTACGGGGTGACACCACAATGAGATCTTGCACCACTTCAAAATTTTAAGAGGGTCTCTTTTTTTTTGCAAGCCCATTATGGGTTCGGCCAGGCCCAGAATGGGGCTGCCGGGTGGTGAGGGACGGTGCCCGACATATTCGAACGGACCACCTCCCGAAAAATTCCTGGGGATTTTTCGACCCGTTCGGATTCGAACACGGGTCCTCCAGAGCGGTAGGCTGCTACCTTGACCGCTCGGCCATCCGGCCGCTTTATTGACTTACTCACATTCGTAGCTTGTACTGTACGTGTTTGAATATTTATACAGTAGAGCGTCGATTATCTGAATCAATTGGGACTGGGGTTGTTCGGAAGATCGATGTTTCGGATAACCGATTATGTACGAACAAATATATTAATTTATTCCATCTTGACATTTTTCTCCGTTGCGTGTCGCTTCGCGTTGAATTTTCGTCGATGTTAAGCCTAACGAAGACTATTGTATCGTTAAAAATTATTTTTTTATTTTGTACG